ATGAACTTAAGTGTGTGTGTGACCAATATAGGAATAAATTCTCTCTGAGAGCCAACTTCTGACTGAAGCTTATCTATCACTCGCGGCAGATGCCTTCTCTCAAACCTCGGTCCCTTGGGGCTTAGGCCAGATATGTGCCCTAAGCGTCTCATCTTTTACTGCAGCGCTGCGTGGCCTCAATACCAATTGGACAATGGCTCCCACGGGCCGAGCATGGCGCTTTTGACTTCTCGATCCTTACAGACCTAAAGAGTTCTGTCACCGCAATGGAAAATGGTCAGAGATCCCTTCGGGCCAGGCTGGCTTTCTCTTGTGCTCCGTGCCCCCCTCCAGCCCCTCCCTCCTGAAAACCTGCCACACTCTCCAAGTCTTGAGACTCCTCTCACTCTCCCCTCTCTGGACCCTCTTCAAGGTTTTCTGATCCTCTAGATTCTCAGTCTTCACCTCCTCCAGCTCATTCGTGCCTGAAATCCTGGACGAAATGCCAACCTCCAGACTGGGTTTGGCCAACTCCCTTTGTCAGATGCCTACTGGGCTCTGTCTGTAGACGGCAGCTCTTGCGAAGGTGCGCGAGGTCAGCGAGGGCTGCCCTAGGCATGGTTACCCTCGATCAGGTCATCCTCACCCTGGGTCGGCTGCACATCGTGGACAAGGCTCACCTTACTTGGTTCTTTAGAGAGAGTAAGGGCAGGAGCAGGGCACAGCGCAGGTTTTCTGATCCCATGCAGACCGGGTAAAGGAGGAGTCAGAGTCCTCAGTGGCTTTGCAGGATTTTTATTGGGGGTCACCAGGCATATGGCAGGCAGGGGTGCTGGCTGAGGGGCTGGCAGGCTGGCAGGCCTCCCAGCCCCCAGCAAATCTTCACTTTGGCCAGGAAAGCTGCCCAGGGAACCAACTCCGAAAGGCAGAACTCAGAGCACTTACCGGGGCCCTGACCCTCAGCAACCATAAGAAAGTCACCATCTATACGGATTCAACATATGCCTTCCTTATGGCTCACAGTCCTGCTGCAATTTGGCAGGAAGGGGGTTCCTCTCCACCCAGGGGTCCCCCATCATGAACGCTAAACTTATCCTTAAGCTTCTAGCAGCCTTGCAGCTTCCAACTGAAGTCGCCATGATCCACTG